AATGTTTCAAACCTACTGAAACAATTTTTCGATACTGTAGTAACCTTTATTTCCAACCATCTATGCATCAAAATTAAATGTGATCTCCCTACTGAAATGTAAATTTAACAGCAGGATGGAGAACAATTTTCCCATCGTAAATCTTTTTTGCAGGATTGGTGTATCAGATATTTGCAAAATGCTTAGTGATTGGTGTATCAGATATTTGCAAAAATGCTTAGTGATTGCAGGGGAAAGGGGACTTGATTTTCCCCCTCCAGTGATTAACCAAGTTAGTTTTTGATGCTCGATGCCTCAAAGTTTTTGCATATTTCAAAACAAGTCTTTCAGTCTCCAGTTCACTGTCCTACATTTGCACAATGCCAGGGCATTCGTCTTGTCAATCTACCCACTGCCCACTTATGGGAACTGAAGCCTACAGTTTTTTTTCACCTGTGAATATTTGTCACATATTGTCTTTACCGTTTGGTGAATTTTCTACTGTAAAGTTGATCTAAGTACAGTTTGTCAGTTCTTGTGGAAAGAGCTTTCTGCATTGTTTAGTCCCATTACAGTAAAATATGCAGTGCAAAAACAAAATTTTAGGGGAAAGTTTCAGCTGAAGAGAAACGCTCATGTTTAGTCACAGTTTGTTCATTTGATCGGCTACTTCACAATGGTATGCTTTATTTAAGGAAACTGAAATAAAGTCCTAAAACTAGTCTAGCATAGTGAGGTGTGTGTATCAGTTTTATGATGAAATAACTATGTCTGTGTTACTTAATGTGTACAGAGAAATGGGAATTTGCAAGAAGGTTCCCATTGTGATTTCGGAACAAACTCCAGAATTAAGTAACTATTTTAGGAAATTGCTAAATGCAGAAAGCTCTACCAGATGGTAAAATAATGGAAAAGATTATTGGTCCTTGGCTCAAATTCCAGTGTACTGTTTGTATACCAAGATATGTGAAATGTAAATGTTGTAGGTTATATTTCACTCTTGTAGCTAAAAGAAAAAGTAGACCAGACATAGCTTGTACTACTGAGTTAACAAAAGTTATCCTAAAGTATCCACTTAAAAATGTATACAGAGTTGAGCTCATTGCTGTAACCCCTTTTGGATTGAAAAGTGTGCTGATTTTTATATATATATATTATATATTATATATAAATATAGATATACATACGTAAGATGCCCTAAAGAAGACATCCACTGTACTGCAGTTATGAAAATGACAACTTTTTTGAAGCATTGTATCATAATTCATCAAATTTGCAATGGATCTTTGTTCCTTTTTACTGTGGTATTTTAGAAACGAGTCTCATGTTTGAATTTAGATCTGCCAAGTTTGGGTATTGCTGCTTCAGTTAAGCATAGGGTGCCCGAATAAACCAGTTATGAATGTAGTATTTTTGTCCTGTGTGAAGCAGCTCCGCTCCAACAAATAGGAGGAAAAAACTAGAAAGAATTATTTCAAATTTATCTTTTTTGTATATTAAAATAAAGAATAAATTACAAATCTCAGTGTGTTTTGTGACTTCAGGGGGGGGGGGGAGGGACTTTTCCTTTGTATTTCTCAGATTGGGAGATATATCATTATTGGGTTGCTGTAAGTTTTCCGGGCTGTGTGGCCATGTTGCAGAAGCATTCTCTCCTGGCATTTCACCCACACTTAACAGTGGGAGCTCACCCCACTCCCCAGATTTGAACCCCCAACCTTTCAGTCAGCCAATTCAGCAGCTCAGCGGTTTAATCGCTACCCCACTGGGGTTTCCCTAATTCTCTCTCTCTCTCTCTATATATATATATCAATATATAATACTAATATTATGTGATGCTAATAATATAATATATTGTATATACATATATTGGTAATGTTATAATGTAATACAATATAATACTAATATTATATTATATATTACATGTAATATTACTAATATTGCAGTATAATGGTATAGTACAATATAAAAATATATACTACTAATATTGTGCTAAGCTAATAATTATAATATATTGTATGTACATATAATATTGACCATAATATTGTAATATAATATAATACTAATAATAATACAAAATATAATAATTATGTATTTTATATTACAGGTAATATTATAAATAATATTGCAGTATAGTGGTATAGTACAATATATTAATACATAATACTAATATTGTGCTACCCTAATAATAATATATTGTATGTACATATAATATTGACTATAATATTGTAATACAATATAATACTATTGTATTACAATATTATATTTTATATTACAGGTAATATTACAAATAATATTAAAGTATAGTGGTATAGTACAATATAGAAATATATACTACTAATATTGTGCTATCCTAATAATTATATATTGACCATAATATTGTAAAACAATATATAAATAATAAAATATTTTATATTACAGGTAATATTACGAATAATATTGCAGTATAGTGGTATAGTACAATATAGTAATATATAATACTAATATTGTGCTATGTTTATAATATGATATATTATTGTATGTACAGCCACCCTGAGTCCCCCTGAGAAGGGCAGGGTATAAATATTTGAAATAAATAATAAACTTGTAAGACTCTCTCTACACAAACACATATACTAGCTGTCCTCTACCACACGCTTCTGTGGCCCAGTCTGCTGATCTGGAAAATAAAGTAATGATTAAGTGTTGGTTTGTAATATATGTAATTTCTTTATGCTTGTGGGTAAATAGTATTTCTTGCTGTTTCTTTATCAGTGTTGATGTGGAGATTGTCTGATTTGCCTACTCTGGAAGATGCAACATATAATTGTCCTTCTTTAGGGGTCCCTTTCAAATCTATGATACTATCTGTGTGTATGAATCATATCTATCTATATCTATGGCTGGATGGCTCTTTGTCAGGAGGGCTTTGATTACGTTTTCTTGCCCTGATGAAGGGAGTTGGATTGGATGGCCTTAAGTATTTTCTGTTGGTCATGGGGGTTCAGTGTGGGAAGTTTGCCCCAATTCTGTCGTTTGTGGGGTTCAGAATGCTCTTTGATTGTAGTGAACTATAAATCCCAGTAACTACAACTCCCAAATGTCAAGGTCTATTTCCCCCAAACTCCATCTGTGTTCATATTTGGGCATATGGAATATCCGTGCCAAGTTTGGTCCAGATCCATCATTGTTTGAGTCCAGTGCTCTCTGGATGTAGGTGAACTACAACTCCCAAACTCAAGGTCAATGCTCACCAAACCCTTCTAGTGTTTTCTGTTGGTCATGGGAGTCCTGTATGCCCAGTTGGTTTCAATTCTATCATGCTATTTGATTGTAGGTGAACTATAAATCCCAGCAACTACAACTCCCTATCTATCTATCTTATAGCTGGATGGCTCTTTGTCTGGAGGACTTTGATTACGTTTTCTTGCCCTGATGAAGGGAGTTGGACTGGATGGCCTTAAGTATTTTCTGATGGTCATGGGTGTGCTGTGTGGGAAGTTTGCCCTGATTCTGTCGTTCGTGGGGTCCAGAATGCTCTTTGATTGTAGGTGAACTGTGAATCCCAGTGACTACAACTCCCAAATGTCAAGGTCTATTTCCCCAAACTCCATCTGTGTTCATATTTGGGCGTATTGAGAGCTTGTGCCAAGTTTGGTCCAGATCCATCATTGTTTGAGTCCACAGTGCTCTCTGGATGTAGGTGAACTACAACTCCCAAACTCAAGGTCAATGCCCACCAAACCCTTCCAGTATTTTCTGTTGTTCATGGGAGTTCTGTGTGCCAAGTTTGGTTCAATTCCATCATTGGTGGAGTTCAGAATACTCTTTGATTGTAGGTGAACTATAAATCCCAGCAACTACAACTCCCAAATGACAAAATCATAATTTTTTGAGTGATGGTCACTCCTTGTGTTGTGAGACGTTTTGTTGTCAAATTTGGTGTGATTTCGTTCATTGGTTCTTTTGTTTTTAAGGTACTCATTATGCACAGAGCATTTTTATATATATATATTAGGCCTGGGTAACAACGGAAAATCAAAGAGTTGGAAGAGACCTCCTGGGCCATCCAGTCCAACCCCATTCTGCCGAGAAGCAGGAATATTGCATTCAAATCACCCCTGACAGATGGCCATCCAGCCTCTGTTTAAAAGCTTCCAAAGAAGGAGCCTCCACCACACTCCGGGGCAGAGAGTTCCACTGCTGAATGGCTCTCACAGTCAGGAAGTTCTTCCTCGTGTTCAGATGGAATCTCCTCTCTTGTAGTTTGAAGCCATTGTTCCGGGTCCTAGTCTCCAAGGAAGCAGAAAACAAGCTTGCTCCCTCCTCCCTGTGGCTTCCTCTCACATATTTATACATGGCTATCATATCTCCTCTCAGCCTTCTCTTCTTCAGGCTAAACATGCCCAGCTCCTTAAGCCGCTCCTCATAGGGCTTGTTCTCCAGACCTTTTATCATTTTAGTCGCTCTCCTCTGGACACATTCCAGCTTGTAAATATCTCTCTTGAATTGTGGTGCCCAGAATTGGACACAATATTCCAGGTGTGGTCTAACCAACAGAATAGAGGGGTAGCATGACTTCCCTAGATCTAGACACTGCTCCTATTGATGCAGGCCAAAACCCCATTGGCTTTTTTTGCCGCCACATCACATTGTTGGCTCATGTTCACTTTCCTGTCCTCGAGGACTCCAAGATCTTTTTCACACGTACTGCTCTCGAGCCAGGCATTGTCCCCCATTCTGTATCTTTGCATTTCGTTTTTTCTGCCTAAGTGGAGTCTCTTGCATTTGTCCCTGTTGAACTTCATTTTGTTAGTTTTGGCCCATCTCTCTAATCTGTCAAGATCGTTTTGAATCCTGCTCCTGTCCTCTGGAGTATTGGCTATCCCTCCCAATTTGGTGTCGTCTGCAAACTTGATGATCATGCCTTCTAGCCCTTCATCTAAGTCATTAATAAAGATGTTGAACAGGACATACATATAATTAGGCGGGAAAGGACTGAGGGGGCGGGGCTTGCTCTTTCTCTTTCCCTCTCTCTTTCTCTCCTCCTCCTTTCCTTTCCCTTCACAGAAGCTGGATATGGCGAACTTGTGGGGCTCCCGCTTTGCCCGGAGCCGCTTCCTGGGCGGCTTCCTTTGCGGAGCAGCCACCTCAGGCCTGGCCGCCATTTACTTCCTCAGGAAGAGACCCAAACCTTCCCCGAGCGCCTCTCTGGCAGAAAAACCTTCCCAACCGCCGCCATTGCTGAGAGACGGTAAGCAAATAAATTGCGCATGCGCAGTGGCCGAAAGCGCGTTCTTCCCCCTCTCTTCATCGCTCTTCCCTTTTTACCCTTCAAACAACTGCATTCTGGGTATTGTAGTTTAGCAACGCTGTAGAGTCCCCTATCTGAGGATTCTAAACGCCCTTCCTTAAACTACATGTACCAGCATTCAATTCGGCGTTTTCATAGCAGTGGCTAGGAATGGCTCTGAGAAAAAGGAGGAGATTTAGCATTTGATTTGATTCCCTCTCCAAATCAAAGTATCCTGTTTCACATATTTATTTATTTATATATTTAATAATGTATTAGGGTTTATATTAATTTATTTATTAATGATTCAGAATAATTAATATTTTTTCAGCAATAATTTATATAATTATATATATATAATTATATAATTATATAATTTATATAATTTATAATTTATTACTTGGATAAGAAATAGTGAAACTTTCCGATGGCTCAGTGCAGACAAACTTTGTAATATTATTAGCAATATTATGTATAAAACTTCCTTCAGGCTATGCATATAAAACTTGTCCTATCACCATGATACCTCATTATGTATATGCAAATGTCCCAAAACATGATAAAATATGAAATATGGATCACTTCTGGTCTGAAGTATTTGACTGTGTGGATCATAATAAATTGTGGCAAGTTCTTGGTGGGATGGGCATCCCAAGCCACCTTGTCTCTCTCCTGAGGAATCTGTACAAGGACCAAGTAGCAACAGTCAGAACTGACCACGGAACAACAGACTGGTTCAAGATTGGGAAAGGCGTACGGCAAGGCTGCATACCCTCACCCAACCTTTTTAACTTGTATGCAGAACACATCATGCAGATGTGCGGGGCTTGATGAATGCAAAGCTGGGGTGAAAATTGCTGGAAGAAACATTAACAACCTCAGATATGCAGATGACACCACTCTGATGGCCGAATGCGAGGAGGAGCTGAGGAGCCTTCTAATCAACGTGAAAGAAGAAAGCGCAAAAGCTGGGTTGCAATTAAACATCAAAAAAACCAAGATTATGGCAACAAGAATGATTGACAACTGGAAAATAGAGGGAGAAAACGTGGAGGCCGTGACAGACTTTGTATTTCTAGGTGCAAAGATTACTGCAGATGCAGACTGTGGCCAGGAAATCAGAAGACGCTTCCTTCTTGGGAGAAGAGCAATGTCCAGTCTCGATAAAATAGTAAAGAGTAGAGACATCAGACTGGCAACAAAGATCCTGCCTAGTCAAAGCCATGGTATTCCCTGTAGTAACCTACGGATGTGAGCGCTGGACCTTAGGGAAGGCTGAGCGAAGGAAGATCGATGCTTTTGAGCTGTGGTGTTGGAGGAAAGTTCTGAGAGTGCCTTGGACTGCGAGAAGATCCAACCAGTCCATCCTCCAGGAAATAAAGCCCTACTGCTCATTGAAGGGAAGGATATTAGAGGCAAAGATGAAGTACTTTGGCCACATCATGAGAAGACAGGAAAGCTTAGAGAAGACAATGATGCTGGGGAAAATGGAAGGAAAAAGGAAGAGGGGCCAACCAAGGGCAAGATGGATGGATGGCATCCTTGAAGTGACTGGACTGACCTTGAAGGAGCTGGGGTGGTGACGGCTGACAGGGAGCTCTGGTGTGGGCTGGTCCATGAGGTCACGAAGAGTCGGAGACGACTGAACGAATGAACAACAACCAGCATTCAATTCGGCGTTGCCATAGCAGTGGCAATGAATGGCTCTGAGAAAAAGGAGGAGATTTAGGATTTGATTTGATTCTCTCTCCAAATCAAAGTATCTTGTTTCACATATTTATTTATATATTTAATAATGTATATGGGTTTATATTAATTTATTAATAAATAAATACTTTATAATACTTTAATAAATTAATACTTTATATTAATTTATTAATGATTCATAATAATTAACAGTTTTTCAGCAATAATTCATATATATAATTTTATATATAAATTATATAATTTTTCAGTATGACCATACCATTTCTGAAGACCCAATTTCTCCCCCTATATGATTTAGGCTCCTTCACTGCTGTATAATCCAGATTATCAAATCAGATAATCTGCATTATCTGCTTTGAACTGGATTATATGGGTCTACATTGCCAGATAATCCAGTTCAAATGCCCATTCTACTCAGCTGTATACAATCCAGATTGTCCACTTTGAACTGGATTATCTGGCAGTGTAGACTCATGTAATCCAGTTCAAAGCGGATAATTTGTATTATCTGTTTTGATAATCTGGATTATATGGCGATGAAGAAGGGACTACATGTATATTTATATATAAACATAAACATATGCATATACACACACTTTCAATGGACCTAAGGGCCCTTCCACACAGCCATATAATCCAGAATATCAAGGCAGATAATCCCACAATATCTGCTTTGAACTGGGTTATATGAGTCCACACTGCCAAATATCCTAGTTCAAAGCAGATAACGTGGGATTTTATTCAGCTGTGTGGAAGGGGCCTGTGATAACATATTAATGCAACGCATATTATTTCAACAGCAATTGCTATTAACATAAGACTTAAAGAAAATACTTTAACTTTGAATGTGAACTGAATATGTTTGAATGGTTTTTAACTGGGAATTTTTAATACTGTTTATATTTAATTCTGTTTTAATTTTTGTATATTTTGTATATTTTTTAAATTGTGTGCTAATGCTTTTATGTTAAGCTGCTTTGAATCCTCTTCGGGGGAAATAAATAAATTTGCGGGGTATAAATAAATAGAATAATAATGATAGCAATAACAACACACATTCAGTTTTTTGTATAAAGTAATAATAATAACAAGAACAAGCAATTAGAATCAATTGTCGAAGGCTTTCATGGTTTTTCCGGGCTATATGGCCATGTTCTAGAGGCATTCTCTCCTGACGTTTCGCGTGCATCTGTGGCAAGCATCCTCAGAGGTAGTGAGGTCTGTTGGAACTAGGAAAAGGAGTTTATATATCTGTGGAATGACCAGGGTGAGACAAAGGACTCTTGTCTGCTGGAGCTAGGTGTGAATGTTTCAACTGACCACTTTAAGCATTTGATGGCTTGACAGTGCCTGGGGGAATCTTTTGTTAGAGATGATTAGATGTGCCTGATTGTTTACTCTTTGTTGTTTTGCTGTTGTAATTTTAGAGTTTTTTTTAATATTGGTAGCCAGATTTTGTTCATTTTCATGGTTTCCTCCTTTCTGTTGAAATTGTCCACATGCTTGCGGATTTCAATGGCTTCCCTGTGTAGTCTGACATGGTGGTTGATAAGTCGATGACAGATTCCAAGTGTAGACTCTGCAAGGAAGCAGATGAAACAATAGATCACATCCTCAGCTGCTGCAAGAAGATTGCACACAGACTACAAGCAGAGGCATAACACCATTGCTCAGATGATTCATTGGAACTTGTGCCACAAATACCATCTGCCTGCGACAAAGAACTTGTGGGATCACAAGCCTGAAAAAGTTATGGAAAATGAACACGTCAGACTACTCTGGGACTTCCGAATTCAGACTGATAAAAGTTTTGGAGCATAAGACTCCTAACCTAATGAATGTGGAAAAAAACAAAGTATGGATTGTCAATGTTGCAATCCCAGGCAACAGCGGAATTCATGACAAGCAACTGGAAAAGCTGACACGATATGAGGGTTTAAAGATTGAACTGCAAAGACTCTGGCACAAGCCAGTCAAGGGGGTCCCTGTGGTGATCGGCACACTGGGTGCAGTGCCTAAAAACCTTGGCCCGTGCTTAGAAACAATCAGTACTGACAAAATTACCATCTGTCAGCTGCAAAAGGCCACCCTACTGGAATCTGCACACATTATTCACTGATACATCGCACAGTTCTAGACACTTGGGAAGTGTCCAACATGTGATCGAATACGAAAGACAGCATAGTGATCTTGTTTGCTGTGTATTAATCTTGTTGTGCATGAAATAATAATAATAATAATAATAATAATAATAATAATAATGTGTTAACTGCCTCTAATGCACAGTTAAGACATATCACCATAAATAAAATACAATAAAATAACATTATTAAAACACATCACTATATAATACATATATTTAAAATACATGGTACAAAGAATAAAAAGTAAATTTAAAATTCATGGTTTAAAATTGACGGGGTAGACCTGCTGCAAAAGTGTATATTGCATTAATGTGGCACTTCAGGACCTTGAGATGTGTTTGTATGGTATTAAAAATAATAATAATTACACTTTCATTTGTAGAGCAAAATACTTGTATTCACACTGTGATCTCAAGCAAAATATATTTATTCATTTATTTTTTTATGATGTTTCGATCCCGCCTTTCTCAAGCCTGAAAGCGACTCAAGGCGGCTTACAAATTGTCAGCAATTCGATGCCATAACAATCCATAACATATACAATTAAAACATTTAAAACAACATTATGAAAACCATACAAAAACAATTAAAACATATAATGACCAATGTCTTCCTGTTAATCTCATTTTCCAGTAGCATCGTCTAAGCTGTTCCATGTTTCAATGTGGTTATGTGAGCAGTGTGTGTTTGAAATTTTAGAATCACTGTCCTAGACTCTTTAGTAAAACTCTGGAAGATAATTTCTGATGTAAATATCTATAATGTACATATGTATATACCTTATACATATGTATATTATATATACACACACATACATACACATATACAAAAGCAAACTCACTGTTGTAGTAGAGTCTGCTGGCAACGTTACAACTGATAGGTGGAGTAGTAGAGGAGGGAAACGAGGTGCCCAGGTGTTAGATGAAGAGCAGCAAAGGAAGAGACTCCAGGAGATATTTACGTCACCCACAGGTTTCTCTGGCAGTGAAATTGTTCCGTCTCCCAGGAGCCTGATTTGCCTCACTTTATAGTTGCTTGAGGTTGCTTCCTCTTGCATTTTCTCCCAGGGCTGCTGCATCTTTGCAAGAGTCCTAAAGGTTAATAGTATCAGAGTCTGCAGGCCTCTTTGCAACTATTGGCTTACAGAGCAGCTCTTTGAGTTTAGAGACTGCCTTTTCTCCCAGGGAAAGATCCCCATTTTAGATTCTCCCTTGCCTTTTCAGTTTGAGGAAGGATTTCAGACGTGCTGATGGATAAGCAGTTAGTTCTGGGAGAACCACTGCAAAAACTAAACTGACTAAACTGAGTAAGCTATATTAAGATAATATAGATAGTATATTGTGTTTTGAGCTGTTTTGAGATTTTATAGATAGATAAGCTTAGTTGAGAAGATTGAGTTATATAGTTATAGAGAGTTGTGACTGATTTGTCTCCAGAACTAACCTTAAGTTATAGATAGGGAAAAGCCTGCTTTTTTTAAACCACAACAGCTTGAGGTTAGGGTGTTAAGATTCCAGAATCTTATCTGCCATCTGGAGAAAGGGATACCTCTGTAACTAAAGAAAGGAAAGAATATTTTTGTAGTTTCATCTATTGACTGTTTGTTTGCAACTGTGATGAACTGTGCCAAGTCCTCAAGGACTTTGAATAAATACATATCCTTTTTTGATGTTTAAACCAGTAATAGTCTCAGTTGCTGAGTATCTCAAGCTTCTCAATATAGACACCTGCAGTTCGCTCAGGCATAGAGAGAAGCACGTCACAGTTTTATTTTTTATATCGTCTGGGCGGACGGCACAGAAATGAGTGAGGAGGAGGAGGAAGGAGATGGGAGTAGAGGTTTTAAGAGGACTACTCAGGAGCAAGAGTCAGACGAGGAGCGTCAAAGAAAGAGGATCCGGGACATATTTACTGCTCCCACTGAGGAAGAGGATTTCATGGGCTTTACTGGAAGTAATGGGTCTGGGAGTAGTGAGGATGAAGAGGAACTAGACTGGACACAAGTTCAGGAGATCAGGAATGTGTGTACGCAGCCCACGTCCAGTGACACCTTTGAGGGATTTTCTGGAGGAGATTGGCAAGCTGATGATACCATGGAATCGTGGGGTGATCTAAGTCTTGATAAAAGGTGGAAAAGTTGGAGGGATGGGCGTTGGTGTTCAGCTGTAGAAGCTAAGCCAGCTGACAGCGATGAGGATGGGGTGGAGGGCAACTCATCAATGGATGATGAGTTGTAGGATAAATGAAGGCACTGAAAGTTTGGAACTTTGCAGTAGGCAAAGTGTTGGTTACGTGCCTTGGGTCCTGTTGCTACCGCTTCTCTTGTTGGGCTTGGGTCCTGGAACTGCAGGTTGCTGTGTTCTTCATGTACTGACCGGCTTGGATTCTCGTAAGTGCGGATTTCCCCTCTCCTTGACCTCAGACTGTTTCTGACGACGATGCTGCCTTCTGGACTCTGGTATCGTCCATTGGACTTCTTCGACTTTGGACTGCTTTTGGATGACAGCTTCTCTTCACGGCTTTTTGTTTGGGCTTTATCTTTGAACTGTGTGTTTTTGGTGCATTTTGCTAGAACTCTTGTTTAACCCGGATTTTTTGCCAGTTTAATCCGGTTTATTTTCTAAGTTTGTTTTGCAAGCTGCAAATTGCTGCAAATTGCTGCAAATTTTGAGTTTTGATCAGAGGCACTGAAGTAAGTGTCTCTGAGTCTTGTTTACTTTGACTTAATAAACTGTTGTTTTGATTACATTCTTGTGTCTGGCTCTTTAAGGCACCTGAGTTCCGACACACACATACTTCATGCAAAGTATACTAATGACTGTTTCGGCAGCCATTAATATTAAATTATATATTGCAATATATGTATACACACCCACACACATACTTCAAAACTATGGGAGGTGTGTGTATATATATATGTACATTCGCGTGCACATATATAATTTAGTGCAGCTTGCCTTAATGTGATACATCAGGACCATGTGAGGTATCCTAACCCTAATCCAAAACATCTTGAAATGATTTAACACAAAGAATTAAATGGGTTTTTCTTTAAAGTATTTGTGTTAGAAACCATTATTGTTAAAATGTGTTAGTTTTAACGCGTATGTCTTTGTTTGCAAAATAATAGTAAAACGTTGAAAAGGCATTTTCCCATGGCACAAAACTCAAACAAAGCAACCTATAGTTTGCTCATAAATTGTTAAATATAAACTGAATTAAAAATAGCACCCGCCTACTTTCCCCCTGCAATCAATGAAAATCTATCAGCGCTGTGTTGAGAAAGTGGTTTTCTCTGGCTCGCTCACACCAGTAGTTAATTGCTAGCAATGAAATATTTCTTCATTTTATGGTGGCTTAAGTGTATCTGTAATACTGTTATCATAAAAAAATCAATCTGAAGTGGTGGGCGAAAGGTTACCGCGCACAGTAAATTGACTGTTTTTTACATTCGAAACAGTGAATGTTTTAAATGCTATGTGATGTGAAGTAGGTTCTGTTCAACCTCTTTCAGATGCTCTGCTTTTGGGTGAGCATTGAGGTCCCATCTGCACTGCCATATAATCCAGTGGCAACCTGTGCTGGACGGGGTTACACTCCCCCTGAAGTCACAGGTCCGCAGTTTGGGTGTCCTCCTGGACTCATCACTTACGCTTGAAGCTCAGGCGTCGGCGGTGGCCGGGAGGGCCTTTGCACAATTAAGACTCGTGTGCCAACTGCGACCGTACCTCGTGAAGGCGGATCTGGCCAGGGTGGTCCATGCCTTAGTCACCTCCAGATTGGACTACTGTAATGCTCTCTACGTGGGGCTGCCCTTGAAAACGGCCCGGAAATTTCAGTTGGTTCAACGGGTGGCGGCCAGGTTGTTAACTGGTGCTCCTTACAGGAAGCGGTCAACCCTCCTGTTTAAGGAGCTCCACTGGCTGCCGTTCATTTTCCGGTCCCAATTCAAGGTGCAGGTGCTCACCTACAAAGCCCTAAACGGTTTGGGACCCGCCTACCTGCGTGACCGCATCTCCGTATATGAACCCACACGATCCCTCCGTTCATCTGGAGAGGCCCTGCTCACGATCCCACCTGCGTCACAAGCGTGTTTGATGGGAACGAGGGACAGGGCCTTCTCGGTGGTAGCCCCACGACTCTGGAACTCCCTCCCCAAGGACATCAGGCATGCTCCAAAATTGGCAGTCTTCAGAAGGAACTTGAATACATGGATGTTCCAGTGTGCCTTCCCAGATTAAGGAATCCCAAGCAATATGTCCCAAATGCACTTTACGAGAGAGTTAGAATTGTCTGCACACCCACTTACCCCCCAAAATATCCATCCTTTTTCACCTGGTCATGCCCAGCATTTTAAAAAAAAAATTAATCTTTACATTTGGCCCTGCCAGGTTTTTAAATTGCGTCGTGATATTTTGTTATTGTTTTTGCTTTGCTATGAGTTATTTATTGTTGTATTGTTGTGGTTGTGTTTTTTGTTCTGATGTATTTTGGGCTCGGCCTCTTGTAAGCCGCACCGAGTCCTGTGGGAGATGGTAGCAGGGTACAAATAATGGTTTATTATTATTATTATTATTATTATTATTATTATATTAAAAGGCAGGGACAGTTTAGCGGAACCAGAAAGGATGCTTGGCATCAGCATCAAACATAAGCAGGTAGCAAAAACCAGAGGGCTGAACATGGGCCAAAGTTGTGAATTGCACTTTGAAAACCCTCCTGACCAGCCATTTTTGGTTATTATTTTTACAATGAAGGTTCTTAGGGAGTGGGCTGGGTGGTACACGAGGAGATGGTCCTTCATTGTATTCTGCAGTTCTGAGCTTTGAAGGTAATCTCTGCCAATTGGAATTAAGCCCAAAAACAAATTGCAAAGGCAGTTGTTTGTTGTTTTCTTTCTGTTTCTTGTATTTAGAGGTGTACAGCCTCATAACAACAAGTAGAAATTCAGCAACTTGACTCCTTTCCATCTCTGTATTTTGATGATAGGGAAAGCAAGAGCTACTCAATCCCTGCAAGCCACATAACACTAAAGGCACAGCTCTATACGCTTGAAGCTACACTGCTTAATTTTAAAAACATTCAGTCAATAATAAGGCTATCACTTATAACAGTGTTTCTCAACCTGGGGGTCGGGACCCCTGGGGGGATCGCGAAGGTATGTCAAAGGGGTCGCCAAAGACCATCAGAAAACACAGTATTTTCTGTTGGTCATGGGGGATCTGTGTGGGAAGTTTGGCCCAATTCTATCATTGGTGGGGTTCAGAACGCTCCTTGATTGTAGGTGAACTATAAATCCCAGCAAGTACAACTCCCAAATGTCAAAGTCTATTTTCCCCAAACCCCATCAGTTTTCACATTTGGGCATATTGAGTATCCGTGCCAAGTTTGGTCCAGATCCATCATTGTTTGAGCCCACAGTGCTCTCTGCATGTAGGCGAACTACAACTCCCAAACTCAAGGTCAATGCCCACCAAACCCTTCCAGTATTTTCTGTTTGTCATGGGAGTTCTGTGTGCCAACTTTGGTTCAATTCCATTGTTGGTGGGGTTCAGAATGCTCTTTGTTTGCAGGTTAACTGTAAATCCCAGCAACTACAACTCCCAAATGACAAAATCAATCCCCCCGCCAACCCCACCAGTATTCAAATTTGGGCATACCGGGTATTTGTGCCAAATTTGCTCCAGTGAATGAAAATACATCCTGCAGATCATTATTTACATGGTGATTCATAATGTTAGGGTTATGGTTGGGGGTCACCACAACATGAGGAACTGCATTAGGAAGGTTGAGAACCACTGGCTTATAAAATTTATTCCGTTTCTCACAGATGTGATATAATTTCCATCATCTCTTCTTTGGGTGAATTTCTCCTCCTCTATGTTTCTATCTTAGAACCCCTGATAGAGCCTGTGCTGGAAAAATATGGATTTCCTAATGCTGGAACTCAGGTCAGATATTACACCAATCATGCACTGTCTTATGATCAGGCGAAACGGATACCTAGATGGGTGATTGAACACGTTTCCAAGCATAAGACCTTGGGTAAGTAAACTTTGCATGCATCTGTTACACTATTGTGATTAATTTATTTGCAGGTTGACGGTGGTAGACCTATTTAGGGCAGACAGGTGCAAAAGAGGACAGGACTCCTTAACCTTGCCCTTGTCTTCTCCCAGTGTTTACCAGGTGATGGGAGCCATGTTGACCTCATTTATTTATTTGTCGTGTCAGAGCAACCAGTCAATTATATTACATTTCTAACAGAACAAAGCAAACAAACAGACAAAATACAAAATTTGTGAGTTTGGTAGTTGATTAAATGTCCTTTGACCAGTATCTGGCCACTTGGAGTGCTTCTGGTGTTGCTGCAAGAAGGTCCTCCATTGTGCATGTGGCAGGGCTCAGGTTGCATTGCAGCAGGTGGTCAGTGGTTTGCTCTTCTCCACACTCGCATGTCGAGGATTCCACTTTGTAGCCCCATTTCTTGAGGTTGGCTCTGCATCTCGTGGTGCCAGAGCGCAGTCTGTTCAGCACCTTCCAAGTCGCCCAGTCTTCTGTGTGCCCAGGGGAGTCTCTGATTTGGTATCAGCCATTGGTTGAGGTTCTGGGTTTGAGCCTGCCACTTTTGGACTCTCGCTTGCTGAGGTGTTCCAGCGAGTGTCTCTGTAGATCTTAGAAAACTATTTCTAGATTTAAGTCGTTGACGTGCTGGCTGATACCCAAACAGGGGATGAGCTGGAGATGTCTCTGCCTTGGTCCTTTCACTATTGGCTGCTACTTCCCGTCGGATGTCAGGTGGTGCAATACCGGCTAAGCAGTGTAATTTCTCCAGTGGTGTAGGGCGCAGACACCCTGTGATAATGCGGCATGTCTCATTAAGAGCCACATCCACTGTTTTAGTGTGGTGAGATGTGTTCCAAACTGGGCATGCGTACTCAGCAGCAGAGTAGCACAGCGCAAGGGCAGATGTTGACCTTGATCTTGCATTACTCAACACCATTAATGCTTTCTAGGTGCTAGCTCACCTGTACAAAGAATACTCTATTCTGCAATGCAGAGTTTAATGCAGGTTTACCCTCCAACTATGCCCGAAGAGCTGGCATTGTCCGTAGACACCTCCAAGGTAATGTGGCCAGCATGACTGCATGGAGCATTGTTGCCTTACCGCCAAAGCGGTACCTATTATCTACTCACATTTGCATCTTTAAAAATTGCTAGGTTGGCAGAAGCTGGGGCTAACAGTGGGTGCTCACCCCACTTCCCGGATTTGAACCACCGATCTTTCGTTCCGCTAGTTCAGCAGCTCAGCAGTTTAACCTGCTGCGCCACCAGGGCCCCCCACTGTATGTATACATTACATCATATTATATTTTAGTCACTGGGTTGTTATCTTGTTCCTCAGGCAATGCAGACAGAAAACACTGCAAATTTAGACCAGATCCTGACATCTCTCCAATGTTCAGTGCCGTGAATGAAGACTACCTTGGGAGTGGCTGGTCGCGAGGCCATATGGCACCAGCAGGAGACAATAAATACTCACCAGTAGGACTGCTTCATAACTTTTGGGGTTTTTAAAAAAAATATTTTTAAGAGAAAAGGCCTTTCCAGCAGTTAGAAAAAATGGCAGATAATTCCTGAATCTATCTGGGAGCTTTCTATTTACTCTGTGAACCTGGTCAAACTTCTCAGCTTTTCTAACTAGCTCATAATGAAAGGGATGAAAAGGAATGACTATTATACTTTGAAAGGTATACTGAATTTGAAGAGCCTGGTCTTGAAATGCCATGCACCATATAACCGAGTGATGACAGGGCATTGTTCTGCCTATAAATGCCCTTGTGGGTTGTTGGTAGCTTAAAGGAGGAACACATTAATATTTGACCACTTTATTCTGCCTAATGGACCTAAGTAAGTGTTGTTGGCATTAACCCACAATTCAATTACAATTCTTTTTCTTCTATAGCAAGCCATGGCAGAGACCTTCTATCTGTCCAATATTGTGCCTCAGAACTATGAGAATAATGCTGGATTCTGGAATAGGTCAGTTGCTGCTAAATTAACCATATATGGTGTAAAATGCAGTTTTGGGATGGATCTATAAACATTATGAACAGGCTTCAACCCATAGTGGAAATATTTTTTGTAAACAGAAGATGAAGCATTTGAAAATAAGAAATAAGTTTGGGGTAGTTTTCTTGTAGATCGTTACAACAGTCCTGTTCCTCCCAAACACAGACTAACAGGTAAGAAGTAATGAGCAGAGTGCCGCAGGGTTCCATCCTGGGCCCAGTCCTCTTCTACATATTAATTAAGAACTTAGCTGATGGGTTAGAAGGCATGATCATCAGGTTTGCAGACAACACCAAATTGGGAGGGATAGCCAATACTCCAGAAGACAAGCAGAATTCAAAACAATCTTAACAGATTAGAGATGGGCCAAAACTAACAAAATGAAGTTCAACAGTGACAAATGCAAGATACTCCACTTAGGCAGAAAAAATGAAATGCAAAGATACAGAATGGGGGATGCCTGGCTCAAGAGCAGTACATGTGAAAAAGATAGTGGAGTCCTTGTAAACATGAGCCAACAATGTCATGCAGCGGCAAAAAAAGCCAATGGGATTTTGACCTGCATCAATAGGAGTATAGTGTCTAGATCCAGGGAAGTCATGCTACCAATTCTCTATTATGCCTTGGTTAGACCACACCTGGAATACTGTGTCCAATTCAGGGCACCACAATTGAAGGGAAAATGATGACAAGTTTTAATGTGTCCAGAGGAGGGCAACTCAAATGATCAAGAGTCTGGAGAACAAGCCCTATGAGGATCGGCTTAAGGAGCTGGGCATGTTTAGCCTGAAGAAGAGAAGGCTGAGAGGAGACATGATAGCCATGTATAAATATGTGAGAGGAAGCCACAGGGAGGAGGGAGCAAGCTTGTTTTCTGCTGCCCTGGAGACTAAGATGCGGAACAATGGCTTCAAACTACAAGAAAGGAGATTCCACCTGAACATTAGGAAGAACTTCCTGACTGTGAGAGCCGTTCAGCAGTGGAACTCTCTGCCCCAGAGTGTGGTGGAGGCTCCTTCTTTGGAGGCTTTTAAACAGAGGCTGGATGGCCATCTGTCAGGGGTGTGTTAAATGCCATTTTCCTGCTTCTTGGCAGGGGGTTGCTGGAGCCACAAAAGTTGCCCTTTTGCTATTTATTTATTTATTTATTTATTTACTCCTTTTGTATACCGCAAATATCAGCCGCGGCGACTCTAAGCGGTTTACAGTAAAATGTGCAACATTGAACAATATATATGACAAACAACCACAAACAATACACAAAACGTCATCACGCCTCGAATAGAATCAGATCCAAATCTCATAGTCGTTTTACCATTCCTTGTTCAGTATGCCGTCTTCTGAGTCAGATGTTATTGCATGCTTATCCGAACGCCTGTTCGAAGAGCCACGTCTTAACCCGCCTCCTAAACGCCAATAGCGAGGGGGCCTGCCTGATCTCCACTGGTAGGGCATTCCATAGCCGAGGGGCCACCACCGAGAAGATGACTACAGATGCAGACTGCAGCCAGGAAATCAGAAGACGTTTACTTCTTGGGAGGAGAGCAATGTCTCTCGTCCCCGCCAACCGCACTTGTGACGCTGGCGGGACCGAGAGCAGGGCCTCCCCGGACGATCTTAACGTCCTCGCCGGTTCATAGGTGGAGATGCGTTCGGAGAGGTAAGTGGGGCCGGAACCGTGTAGGGCTTTATAGGCTAAAGCCAGCACCTTGAATTGTGCCCGGTAGCAAATTGGCAGCCAGTGGAGCTGGCTCAACAAGGGAGTGGTGTGCTCCCTGAGTGCCGCTCCCGTTAGCAACCTGGCTGCCGAGCGCTGGACCATCTGAAGCTTCCGGGCAGTCTTCAAGGGCAACCCCACGTAGAGCGCGTTGCAGTAATCAATGCGGGATGTGACAAGAGCGTGGACTACCGTGGCCAAGTCCGACTTCCCAAGATACGGGCGCAGCTGGCGCACGAGCCGAAGCTGTGCAAATGCTCCTCTGGAGACCGCTGAAACTTGGGGTTCCAAGCTTAGCGAAGAATCCAGAGTCACACCCAAGCTGCGAACCTGTGTCTTCAGGGGGAGTGCGACCCCGTCCAACACAGGCTGTAACCCTATACCCTGTTCGGCCTTCCGACTGACCAGGAGTACCTCTGTCTTGTCTGGATTGAGTTTCAATTTGTTCTCCCTCATCCAGTCCGACACAGCGGCCAAGCACCGGTTCAGGACCTGGACAGCCTCCTTAGTAGTAGGTGGAAAGGAGTGACAGAGTTGGACGTCATCTGCGTACAGATAACACCGCACCCCGAAACTCCGGATGATCTCTCCCAACGGCTTCATGTAGATGTTGAACAACATGGGGGACAGTATTGAACCCTGCGGGACCCCACACGTCAATGGTTGTGAGGACGAGCAGGTGTCCCCCAGTAACACCTTCTGGGTGCGGTCCTCTAGGAAGGACCTGAGCCACTGTAGAACAGTGCCCCCCAGGCCCATTCCCACGAGGCGCCCCAGAAGGATACCGTGGTCGACGGTATCGAAGGCCGCTGAGAGATCCAGCAGAACCAACAGAGACACACTCCCCCTGTCAAGCTCACGCCGGAGATCATCGACCAAGGCGACCAAGGCTGTCTCGGTACCATGCCCCGGCCTAAAGCCAGACTGCGCCGGATCCAGATAATCAGTGTCTACCAAGAATGCTTGGAGTTGTGAGGCCACCACACGTTCCAGGACTTTGCCCAAAAAGGGGAGATTGGAAACAGGCCGATAGTTGACGAATTGAGTGGGGTCCAGTGATGGTTTCTTCAACAGCGGTTTTATAACAGCTTGCTTTAAGCTGGCTGGAATTATGCCTTCCCGATGTATTCTACCTGACTGCAAATACATAGTCTGTTTTACCATGGCACATTGTGGTAGCGACCATCTAACACTGCGGTTAGATGGTTAGATGCAATTACTTGAAATTCCAGCTCAGTGAAGACAATTCTTAAGGAAGGTCGCTTTGGCTTAATCAGATATCTGGCTTGGAAGTGTTCAGTTTTCAAAATGGGGAGCCATGGGAAAAATATTGAGTTCCTGGTTGATTGCAGGGTCCTTCTTGAATCAGTCCAAAATAGCCAGTCTCTTAGTTGCCTCTTATTCATGTCCAAGGCAGAATTCAATTCAGGAAGATGAGTAGGGCATTTTCTAGGCTGGATTTCCATTGTTGATGGTTACTCATTTCCTCACAGCACAACACTGAGAGATGGTTGTTTTGAAGAGTAGCAATTCGTTTGAGGTATTTTAATTGGGCGCAATCTACTTTTGATTTTGAGAAACTGCAAGTTGCTTCTGGTGTGAGAGAATTGGCTGTCTGCAAGGAAATTTCCCAGGGGACACCTGGATGTTTTGATGTTTTATCATCCTTGTGGGAGGCTTCTCTCATGTCCCCATATAACAACCCCATAGTTTCCCTCTGCTTTTACCCTGATGCCTTCAACATGACTTCCAAGATCCTTGACATATATAGGCTATACTTTTCTATTACTACACTCTGATCATGAGGCTCATCTCACCAGGTTTCAGTGGTGCCTACTATATCCAATAAATAGTTGAGTACCTTTGTATTCTCCTAGTTCTTTCACTATTCCTGATTATCACCTATGGCCTATGTATGCAGTGAGGAAATGCAGCCAAGGGCAAGTTGCATTCATGTTCAGCCCTTATTCCAGGGTTCAGATATTTATTTATTGAGACTTATAGTTTCTTCCTTCCTGAGAGCTTACAGTTCATAATCATTTAAAGACGAGAAATCCAATGAAATGGAATGAAACTCAATTCATTATACACAGATGACCAAAGAAATAGAATTAGCTTGCTTCAAGTGGGGAGAACAGTATGGTGACAGTTTCAGTTAATGTGGATGAGTTCGTGAAACGTTCGTGCCTGCCACTTGGATGAATTGACTCTTTTCATCAAAGAGAAAACAAAGCCATGTGTACATCAAGTGACAGGATACAAACAAAGTGCTGTCTGCTAGCATTTGGAAGCTGCAAGAAAGAGCTGGCTTCTTCAGTGCTTCTGCCATATGCAAACAAAGAATCTTCCCCAAACAATAACACAACCAAAAAGCAATTAAAGAAAGTGGGAAATGTAAAGCAGAGCTCACAATTCTGAATAAATCAGCAAGTGATTATTTGGTGAAATACTCAAAGGAAAATGAACAAAATCTGGCTACCAGTATTAAAAAACTCTAAAATTACAACAGCAAAACAACAGAGAGGAAACAGTCTGGAACATCTAATCACCTCTCAACAAAAGATTATTTATTTATTTATTTTTATTTATTTCTCGCACTTCTACCCCGCCCTTCTCAACCCCCGAGGGGGGACTCAGGGTGGCTTACAAAAAGGCACAATTCGATGCCAGCACAACAAGGTAAAAAGAAAACATATATAAACAGTAATTAAAACAATTAAAACAATCCATTATGCATCACAGTCCCTAAAACCAATCTAGTGCTCAACGTTTATCAGCTCAGAGTAAGTAAATTCAATTCCACATGGTCCAATCCATCAATTCTAGTCGTTGCTTGTCCTTTGTCTATCCCCCAGATTACCCGAAGGCCTGGTCCCAAATCCATGTTTTTAATTTCCTTCTAAAAGAAAGGAGGGATGTCGAGGACCTGATTTCCCCGGGGAGTGAGTTCCACAGGTGAGGGGTCACCACCGAGAAGGCCCTGCTCCTTGTCCTCACCAACCTCACTTGTGATAGAGGTGGGGCTGAGAGCAGGGCCTCCCCAGAAGATCTTAAACTCCGAGGTGGGATGTAGAGGGAGATGCGTTCGGACAGATACGCTGGGCCGGAACCGTATAGGGTTTTGTAGGTCAAAACCAGCACTTTGAATTGTGCTCGGAACTGGATCGGCAGCCAGTGGAGCTGACATAACAGAGGGGTGGTATGCTCCCTGTATGACGCTCCAGTGAGTAATCTGGCTGCCGCCCGCTGGACTAATTGAAGTTTCCGAACAGTCTTCAAAGGCAACCCCACGTAGAGTGCATTGCAGTAATCTATTCGGAATTGCCCCAAGCACTGCCAGGCCATCAAATGCTAATCAAGGTGGTCAGTTAAAACATTCACATCTAGCTCCAGCAGACGAGTCCTTTGTCCCATCCTGGTCATTCCACAGATATATAAACCCATTTTCCTAGTTCCAACAGACCTCACTACCTCTGAGGATGCTTGCCATAAATGCAGGCAAAATGTCAGGAGAGAATGCCTCTAGAACATGGCCATATAGCCCGAAAAAACCTACAACAACCCACTCAAATGTATACCTTTTACCATCTGTCCTTTTAGCTCAGTGCCCTCTTTGAGGTACACACAGAATTTTGTGGCATCTTGAAAGCTATATATTTGGCACACTCTTCAAGGTATTATAAGACTCTGTGCTCTGGCGGACTAAGATAGCTACTATTTCAGAATAGTCATGCTGGGGGAAAAATGAATATTTCGGTATTGTTTCATATGCCTGGAGTCCTGCAATGATTCCATTACAATGTGACTTGGGCCAAAGTCCAGCATGTTTTGGGCCTCATCACAGCACAGCAAAATTCTGTTCACTCCTCTTCCTCCTGCAGTCTTTGGAGCTTTCTGAAAACTAGTTCCAGGTGGTTTCTCCAGCCCATTGAAGCTTGGATTCCATACTGGCAAAAAGATTGAATATACATTTAAAAAAATAAACAAACACATTTGGTCCTGGCTTTCAAAATCCCTGGGAAGGAAGACCATCACTTTCCTCATTTGTACTCCATTATCTGCCAGTAGAAGGTCTATACTGGATATTGACCTTAGAGTCATAGAATCATTGAGTTAGAAGAAATGCAAAGATACGAAATGGAGGAGACATGATGGCCATGTATACATTATATGAGGGGAAGTCATAGGGAGGAGGGAGCAAGCTTGTTTTCTGCTGCCCTGGAGACTAAGATGTGGAGCAATGGCTTCAAACTACAGAGAAGCAGATTACATCTGAACATGAGGAAGAACTTCCTGATGGTGAGAGCTGTTCAGCAGTGGAACTCTCTGCCTCGGAGTGTGGTGGAGGCTCCTTCTGAGGAGGCTTTTAAACAGGGGTTGGATGGCCATCTGTTGGGGGTGCTTTGAATGCGAATTTCCTACTTCTTGGCAGAGGGTTGGACTGGATGGCCCACGAGGTCTCTTCCAACTCAATGATTCTACAATCCTGTATATGGGACCTATGAGAAAGGCCCTATGACTTCATGATTCTATGAGGAGACCTTGTGAGAACCACTGGTCTAATACCACTCTGGATGATCTTAGAAGTTTTGAAGAGAATCATAGAGTTGGAAGAGATTTCGTTGGCCATCCAGTCCAACCCTATGCTGCCAAGAAGCAGGAAAATCACATTCTAAGCCCTCCCCCCACCCAACAGATGGCCATCCAGCCTCTTTTATAAAGCCTCCAATGAAGGAATCTCCACCACACTCTGGGGCAGAGAGTTCCACTGCTGAACAGCTCTCACAGTTAGGAAGTTCTTCCTAATGTTCAGGTGGAATCTCCTTTCCTGTAGCTTAAAGCTAAAGTCCTAGTCTCCAGGGCAGCAGAAAAAAGTTTGCTCCCTCCTCCTTATGACTTCCCCTCACATATTTATCTACGGCCTCCTCATGTCTCCTCTCCGCCTTTTCTTCTGCAGGCTAAACATGCCCAGCTCTTTAAGCCACTCTTCATAGGGTTTGTTCTCTAGGCCCTTGATCATTTTAATCCTCCTCTGGACACATTCCAGCTTGTCAACATCTCCCCTCAATTGCAATACCCAAAATTGGACACAGTGCGATTCCAGGTATGGTCTGACCAAGGCAGAATAGAGGAGTAGCATGACTTTCCAGGATCTAGACACTATACTTATGCACAAATACTTTATCTCACTGGGATTTGTTCTTTTAAGATTGGATTTCTTATGCACTTGCTATAGAAAAGGTTTTGTTTTGATTTATGATGTTTACACATGAAAAGCATTTGAAACAAATTCAGCTAGAAGAAAAAACACAGTTGCATTTTGTTAGTTGTTGGTACAATCCCTTCACAAATACTAGTGGAACAAAGATGAAAACATATGAGAAGACGTATTGTCGAAGGCTGGAATCACTGGGTTGTTGTAGGTTTTTGGGGCTATATGTTCTAGGAGCATTCTCTCCTGATATTTCACATGCATCTATGGCAGGCATCCTCAGAGGTAGTGAGGTCTGTTGGAAACTAGGAAAATTGGGTTTATATATCTGTGGAATGTCCAGGGTGGAAGAAAGAACTCTTGTCTGTTGGAGCTAGGTGTGAATGTTTCAACTGACCACCTTGATTAGCATTTGATGGCCTCACAGTTTTTAGGTGTTACTGCCTAGGAAATTCCTCTGTTGAGAGATGATTAGGTGTTCCCGATTGTTTCCCCTCTGGAGTTCCCCTGTGTTTGAGTGCTGTTTTACTGTCCTGATTTTAAAGTTTTTTAATACATATAGCCAGATTTTGTTCATTTTCATAGTTTCTTTGAAACTTCCTCCTTTCTGTTGAAATTGTCCACATATTTATGGTTTTCAATGGCTTCTCTGTGTAGTCTGACATGGTGGTTGTTACAGTGGTCCAGCATTTTTGTGTTCTCAGATCATATGCTGTGTCCAGGTTGGTTCATCGGATGCTCTGCTATGGTTGACTTCTCTGGTTGAAGTAGTCTGTGTCAAGCTTAAGCGCAACTTGACAGAAGCAATGCTAGATCCACCAGACACAGCTCTGTAAATCAAGGACTCTGGAGACTTTGGTTACAAAAGAAAACTCAGTTTACTAAGCACAGAAGAACATGTCCATTTACAGCGAGCGACACACAGGAAGAGACAGGAAAACCAAAAGTCAAAACAGAACTTTGCAGCTGTAAATCTTTTTTGCTCCAAGCGGCAACTCCCTAGTAGTTCTCAGCAGAAGAGAGCTTATCTTAAGGTCACTTAATCACAGCCTCAACATAAACATTTCAGCATAGCATTTCCATTTTCAGTGGCATCCATATTTGCTACACAAGAATTACATTTAAAACTCATACACATAATACCTCAATAAATCCTGACAGTCTGCACTGCCTTTCATGTTCTTTGATTCGTATTTGGGCAATGCGGCTGCGTTTGGTGGTCTCTATGTAGACTTGTCCACAGCTGCATGGTATACGGTAGACTCCTTCAGAACTGAGGGGATCCCTCCTGTCCTTTGCTGAACGTAGCATTTGTTGGATTTTCTTAGTGGGTCTGTACATAGTTTGTCCCAACCTGGTCATTCCACAGATATATAAACCCTTTTTCCTAGTTCCAACAGACCTTATTACCTCTGAGGATGCTTGCCATAGATGCCGGCGAAATGTCAGGAGAAAATGCCTCTAGAACATGGCCATATAGCCCAAAAAAACCTACAACAACCCAGTTTGTATGTTGTATATGAGAAGATGACTGCCAGCAAATGGAAATGGGGTGGATTTTACCTACTGAGGAGAAAAAAAAATAGAAACAGTAGAAAAAGAGCCAGAAAACTAACCTGCAATTGTTGCCGAGATAAAGTTCCATGTACTTGAAAAATTAATACTTCCACTTCCAAGATTTCTGGCATACGTGTACTCCTTATGCTTGATTTCATATACAAGGAAAATGTTGCACTCTTTTCCACTTGCTTCCCTTTGTTGTAGACATCGTTAGAGCTAACTCCCAATTTCAGCTTCCCATCTGTTTACACAGTCTGCTTGGTATATTTATAGAATAGAAATGTATTGCCGAGAACTGACGGAAAGGTTTGAAGACATTTGGATCGTTTCGGGACCTTTGACATTGCCTCAGATGGAAGGCGATGGGAAGAAAAGAGTTACTTATCAGGTAAGCAGACGGCACTGTGTAAAATACCCATAACACTGAGAGGACAAGTTCTTTTCAGTTTGATTGGGCCTTTCTTTACTCTAATACTTACTCTCATGTGGCTGTTTGCCTTCAAGTCATTTATAAGTTATAGTGTCCCTAAGGCAGGGTTTCCTTAGCAATATTTGTTCAGAGGGAGCTTGCCTTTGCCTTACTCAGAAGCTGAGAGAATGTGATTTGCCCAAGCAGGGGCCTGAACCCCATTCTCCAAAGTCCTAATCCAATGCTTACACTACTATACCATGTCGGCTTATTAGTACTGAATGCCATATTGTGTGCATGAAGAGAATATGATTTTCAGGAATCAATGTGTCTTTACAGCTGAAGAATGTTTTCCTTCTATGCAGTCCTTGCCTGCTAGATACCAATGTGGGATTTCATACGTGAAGGAGTCCAGTGGCCTCAGTCATGTATTTTGAGGAGAAGCAATGACCAGTTTCCAGGTGGAAGGCGGTCCTGGTCTGAGAGGGGGGAAGTTTCTACTCCAGGTGGGTCTGCAGTGCAAATCAAGAGAAAATAGAGGGCTTTTTAAAGGAAGCCTAGGGAGATAGCTCAAGGGTTTAAAGGACGAACCAACCACTCTCCTCCGCGCCTTCCTTCTGGGTTACTTACTTACTTCACTTAGGTGATCTCTTGTAGCCTGAGGATGGTGATCCTCCAGGTCTGGTGTCTTCACGGTGGGTTCGTAGGTGGCTGTGGAGCCCTATTCTTGATCTGCATGTTCTCCCACAGTGAGAACACCAGTTTCCAGGTGGAAGGCGGTCCTGGTCTGAGAGGGGGGAAGTTTCTACTCCAGGTGGGCCTGCAGTGCAAATCAAGAGAAAATAGAGGGCTTTTTAAAGGAAGCCTAGGGAGATAGCTCAAGGCCGATCATTCTTCCTTCCCTGGGAAGTGGGAAGCCTCCTTAAAATGCTTTGGAAAGCTGCGTGCAGGGAGAGAGAGCTTGCACGCATGTAGCTCCTGCAGCGCTTGTCTCCTCTAGAGTAGAAAGTGGAAAACATCTTTCAGGAAGCAGAAAGGTGTGAGGGGGGAAGTTTCTACTCCAGGTGGGCCTGCAGTGCAAATCAAGAGAAAATAGAGGGCTTTTTAAAGGAAGCCCCGGGAGATAGCTCAAGGCCGATCATTCTTCCCTGGGAAGTGGGAAGCCTCCTTAAAATGCCTTGGAAAGCTGCGTGCAGGGAGAGAGAGCTTGCATGCATGTAGCTCCTGCAGCGCTTGTCTCCTCTAGAGTAGAAAGTGGAAAACATCTTTCAGGAAGCAGAAAGGTGTGAGAGGGGGGAAGTTTCTACTCCAGGTGGGTCTGCAGTGCAAATCAAGAGAAAATAGAGGGCTTTTTAAAGGAAGCCTAGGGAGATAGCTCAAGGCTGATCATTCTTCCTTCCCTGGGAAGTGGGAAGCCTCCTTAAAATGCCTTGGAAAGCTGCGTGCAGGGAGAGAGAGCTTGCTTGCATGTAGCTCCTGCAGCGCTTGTCTCCTCTAGAGTAGAAAGTGGAAAACATCTTTCAGGAAGCAGAAAGGTGTGAGAGGGGGGAAGTTTCTACTCCAGGTGGGCCTGCAGTGCAAATCAAGAGAAAATAGAGGGCTTTTTAAAGGAAGCCCTGGGAGATAGCTCAAGGCCGATCATTCTTCCTTCCCTGGGAAGTGGGAAGCCTCCTTAAAATGCTTTGGAAAGCTGCGTGCAGGGAGAGAGAGCTTGCACGCATGTAGCTCCTGCAGCGCTTGTCTCCTCTAGAGTAGAAAGTGGAAAACATCTTTCAGGAAGCAGAAAGGTGTGAGAGGGGGGGAAGTTTCTACTCCAGGTGGGCCTGCTTCCCGTCGCGATGCTGCGCACAAACTTGCCAGCACGTGAACATCTAAATAACATGAGGGCTCTTTTGCTTCCAAGTGTTGACCGATGCGCGCCCTAGGTGTGTTCCATTGACTCTGCGCTAAATATCAGGTCGTATGGTAGTGTGCGCTGCAGGGGTCACCGTGCCTCGTGGAGCATCGCTGAGCCCCTTGCGCACATATTCGCGACGTGAGCACCCTCCTCGTGGTCCCGGCTGTCAAGCGGGAAGCGCTGGTAGTGTGTGTCGGGTCTGACTCGCTGCAGTGTTCTCACAAATTGCACTTGTGATAGGCTGTGATCGGTCTGTCCTGCGTGACATGTTCATGCTACAGACGTTTGCTCTCTGGGCACTCATGAGGGCTCCGTGTAGCCGTATCCGTGAGCTGTGCTTTCTTTCTATTCCTCTACTTGTCCGGCTGGGGGCAACCAGTGAGGCCACTATCTTCTCAACAGGGAACAAGCATAAAGTCTGGTGCAGAGGAGTGTGTGCGTAAGTTGTTTGTGGCGCTAGTAGATTCCATGGAGAACTCCAGGGGGTTTCGTGAGCGAGGTGCAGCAAAATCAGAATTGTATAGGCACGATAAGAGTGTGGGCGCTTTCTTTTAATAAGCGAAGCCCAGTGGGTGAATGATCTCAAGGCCGGATCATTTCTTGGATCGGATCCCTACCTCCCTGGGGGAAGGGGCGGTGACAACAGGGGCTCTCCTGGTCTAAAATGCCTTGGAAAGCTGCGTGCAGGGAGAGCTTGCACGCATGTAGCTCCTGCAGCGCCTGTCTCTAGAGTAGAAAGAAGCAGCTTTAACAAAGCATTAAAACTGGTCTCTTCTACAGACACAAGGGAAAAGATCGCAGAAAGAGTGGTATCTTAACCCTGATGTTTTTAATTCAAGTCTCAATGAAGGATATAAGGACAAACAATGCCTAAAATGACGGGAAGGGGAGTCTGTGGAACCCCTCTCCCCCATAATGGACTGGATATGGGGTTCTTCTTTAACCCTGTTGCTGAAACTGAGGCTCCCTTGAAGGGAAGACAGGAAAGGGTCCCAGGTTGTAAGTTCCCCATTGCTCCCAGTGGGCCGGATCTAGCCGTATTTTTCGGGTGCGGACCAAAAAAGTCCTCGGCCGATTCACCCTTTTTTGGGAGGCTCGTGAAAACGGATACGGGAATTTACCAGAATCTGGCCAGCAGAAACGGATCGAGGTTTAGCCAAAATGCACAAGCTTACTGATGACCACGCTTGGTATTTGCAACAGTTGCAGAATATAAATATATGTCTGGAAATGTTTCTTAAAAAAAGAAGAAAAAAGAATGCCAACAGGAAGAATCTGTTCTGTGTCACTGAAGAGACAGAAACAGGTTTTCCATCTCCTACTAGAGCAAATCAGTATGACAGCATCTTGTTTTATGCATTGCTGCTCTCCAGAGAGCGTCGGTTCAGTGTTTTCTTTTTGTCTGCTAGCAGATTTTTGCTTCTAAATGTATCCTTTTACAATCACTTTTCCTCCTACGCTTTACTCAAGCTGAGATTGGATTAAATGCATAATTTAGAACTTTCTCACCAAGTGTTGCCACAATCTGGATTTTTCCCCCTCTTATATTTGTTTTATACTTCAGTGAAAACAACTTGTTTCAGGGAGTTTCAGTGCTAAAATAGTTACATGGGTAGCCATGAATCTGCTTCTAGCTAACCATGTGTTGCGCCTCTACTCACATGGGAAAACTCAGTGGGACTTATTTGGAGAGTGATATACACTCAGTTTGCAGCGTACATCTGTCACTAAACACTAGGGTATAAGCCTGAAGGCTGATACCTATATTTTCTTTTGATATGGAAAAAGCACCACAAGCTGATTTTATTAGCCATATTTTTGAATGCATCCCTATCTTTTATCTTCTATATATATATAAATGCTCTGTGCGTAATGAGTACCTTAAAAACAAAAGAACCAATGAACGAAATCACACCAAATTTGGCAACAAAACATCTCACAACACAAGGAGTGACCATCACTCAAAAAATTATGATTTTGTCATTTGGGAGTTGTAGTTGCTGGGATTTATAGTTCACCTACAATCAAAGAGCATTCTGAACTCCAACTTGGCACACAGGACTCCCATGACCAACAGAAAACACTAGAAGGGTTTGGTGGGCATTGACCTTGAGTTTTGGAGTTGTAGTTCACCTCCATCCAGAGAGCACTGTGGACTCAAACAATGATGAATCTGGACCAAACTTGGCACGAATACTCCATATGCCCAAATATGAACACTATTGGAGTTTGAGGAAAATAGACTTTGACATTTGGAAGCTGTGGTTACTGGGATTTATAGTTCCCTTACAATCAAGGTGCATTCTGAACCCCAACGACAGAATTGGGGCAAACTTCCCACACAGTACCCTCATGACCAACAGAAAATACTGTGTTTTCTGGTGGTCTTTGGCGACCCTTTTGAAACCCCCTGGTGACCCCCCCAGGGGTCCCAACCCCCAGGTTGAGAAATGCTGCCTTAAGGCCATCCAGTCCAACTCCCTTCACTAGGGCAAGAAAACATAATCAAAGCCCTCCTGATAAAGAGCCATCCAGCCATAGATATAGATAAATATATATGATTCACGCACACATATATGTATATAATAATAATACTTTATATATACCCCACTACCATCTCCCCAAGGACTCGGTGCGACTTACATGAGGCCAAGCCCGCAATACAAACAATACAAGCAATAACAGGTACAATACAAAGCAGTTAAAAGTAAATCACATACACAAATAGCACAAACATTAAACAAGGTACAGTGCACATTTAAAACTATGGCTGGGCCAAATGTAATTGAGGTTTAAAAAATAATGCTAGGCATGGACAGATGCAGGAGATGGGGCGTTGATGGAGAAATACAAGCAGTCCTAAATCAATATAAAGTGCTTTTGAGGGACATAGTGCTAAGGGTTCATTATTCTGGGAAGGCACACTGGAACAACCACGTTTTCAAGCTCCTCCTGAAGACTGCCAAAGATAGGGCATGCCTGATGTCCTTAGGGAGTGAGTTCCAGAGTCGAGGGGCCACCACTGAAAAGGCCCTGTCTCTCATCCCCACCAATCATGCTTGCGATGCAGGTGGGAGCGTGA